GCATGACTGATGCTATAGCCTCGTTGGAACGTCTCCATGCAACAAAGCGAGCATCACCAAGGAATTATCTTGAAATATATGGTTTTCTTCCTGCAAATTCTAGTACGGTGAGCTGGAATTATCTTGAACCGTAAACCGGAATCGTCTCGAACCACCAATCAAGGGCTAGTATCTAGGCAAACAAAATGTATGAGATGTATTATATCAGAGTTTATGTGAGTATTGTTGATGAACATTGTGGATAAATAAGTTTTTGCAACATCAAAATCTATATGAACATTAAACGTCTGTTTTTCTTGAATAATTCTTAAAAAGAAAAATGATTTATATATATATCGACTGTAATTCTTTTATTTATAAGTAATGTGAATATTTCTTTAAAGTTTAATTTTCCTACTATATAAACAATTACACACAAAAAATAAAAAATCAGTTACAATATAATAAATCATTCGAACTCGATATATTTTGCATACAAAAAAGATTCGAACTCGATATATTCTTAAACAATATCAAGCTACTTATCACTTGAACCAACACCATTGATAGGATTTATAGTTTTTAAAATAACTATTTCTTGCTATCTTTTTTGGTTACAAAGAGAATGAAGAACTAAAGGTGTAAACTAAGGCATTTGAAAACTTTTGGTAAAGGAATTCCCCTCGCATCAGCTTCAAGGCAATGAAGAATTTTTGCAGCTGGTGAATCAAATATCACAAGCTTTTCATCAATGCTACAACTTACTTTTAAGAGAAATTTATCTCCGAAGAACGAACTCCCAAACTTTGAATGTCTGCAATAATTGTCCCCATAGGGTGAATATTCACATCGCCAACTTCTATATGGTGCAAGGCCAGTGTAGCATTCAACTCACACTTAATGGCTCTATATCTATGATCCCATGAAACTATTAAGCCGATTCTAATGGCATGGAGTTCAACCGTAAAGTTTGTGCAAACTCCCAAGTGAGCCGTAAATCCCAAAATCCACTCACCAATTATGCTTCTCAAGATGCCTCCAGCACCTGCAATTCCCGGATTTCCCTTACAAGCCCCATCAGTATTTAATTTTATCTTTCCATGTCGCGGGGATTGTCGCATAATTTGAGAATGAATTATCGACGACCGAATGGGGTTCCTATTTGCTAGCAACACCTCCTTCGTTTGTATTGATAATATTATGCCAAAGCTTAACACCATCATGTATACTATCATCTGGTTCAAAGATCTTTATTATATTTTAGTTTGTGATATTTATATTGATCTAAAGGGGAATTGTTATTATTATATATTTATATTTATTAATATTAAATGCAATATTATCTCATTTATCCATTAAAACGATCTTTTATTTTATTAAATAATTCTACATTTATAATACATTGACAGAGCATAAAAAATAGCTTATATAGGAAAAGTTGATAAACTTGGGAAACTAGTTGGGAGTGAAAAATAACATTTTAAAAATAATGAAAGCAGAAGTAAAGTGATAATGAAATATTAATTAATTAGATAAAATAAATAAAAAACAAAAAACAATTTGGTGTGCTAAATATCTGCAATAAAATAAATCAACAGTTGTACAAAATTAAATTTGACTAATTTAATTCAAATCCAATTATTTAAATTAATTTATACTAGTCGAATATTAATATAGACCGGATATGATGACTTAAACTTTATTTGAAATCTAAAACAAATCAAATTTTATTAAAATTGGCTCAAATTTTAGTTGGACAGATATAGACTTTTATAAATGTTAACTAGAATTGAAAACAACTCAAATTGAAGTAATCTGAACAAAAAATAATCTAAATTTAATCTACTTAAATTTGACTCGAATCAAACATTAATAAATTTTTAATTAAATAGCTGAATCAAATTAAATGAATAATCAATTTATTATTATCTATTTTTAAGCAACAAGATAAATAATAAAATAATGTATATTTTATCATCCTTTTATATTATATTATCAATTACCTTTGATAATATTTTAATAATATGTACAAAAATGGTCTCCCGACTATATGACACTACTTTATTGAATCCTAAGATTATTATAAGTTATAAAATGGTCACTTGACTATTAAAAGTTATAAAATGAGTCCCTTGACTATTAAAAGTTACAAAAATTTCATCAGACTATTTATATGTTCCAAACTCATCATTTTTGTTAAAAAAACTAATGGTAGTCTGAGTTTGACGTTAACTCGTTGACTATATCAAAATCTCAAACGATTATCATATCTCAGTCAACAAATTAACATCTAATTCAGGCTGTCATAATTTTTTTATAAAAAAAGAACGAATTCGAAACACATGAATAGTCAAGTGATAATTTTACATTTCTTAATAGTTGAGAGAATTAATAAAATAATATTCTATAATCAGATACTATATGTGTGATTTACCCTTTAATAATTCAATATTACCCATCATGAACTTTAAGTCAATGATGCATAGTAGGTAAGCTGGCGAGTTTTTGATGGATCATGGATTGGTAAGAGGCTTATAATTGGGGTCTGGGATAGGGGGTTTTGTAATTGGGTCATGGTGGATCATCGTACATGTAGAATAGTAAGCTAATTTATAAAATAATTTTTTTTAAATATTTTAATTAATATTACATTTTTATTTTACGGACGCATTTATTAGAAAATCAAATCTTCTTTAAAAATTAATATTTTTATTATTACTGAGATTACTCAATAAATTTTTAAAACAATTCTTTAAATTTCAAAGGCTTAAAATATCATTAGAGCTAATTAAAAATAATAATGCTAATACTAGTTGAGCCAAAATGACATTTTTCGAATAATTATAAAGCTATTTCAACTTGAGCAGCCTTTAAGCCGGAGAAGCCGCCACGGGTGGAGTGGGATTTGTATGTATTATTCATCCACTACAATTTATTGATAAACCAAATATTTTTTAAATATTTTAAACTATAATTAGCTAATTGGCAAGCAACTAACAAGTGGTAATAACTTATTAATAAAAAGGATGAATGAGTACAAAAAGAGGAAACAAAAATACTTGTATAAATCCTTTGACTTGATCCCAATTAAGATTTAAATGAAGGGTATCATAATTAAATAATTATATATGAAAAGCTTATTACAATATTTTTTACATTTTAAATGAAAATATATGTGGGAAAATTATGATACAAATAGTTTATATTATTATTATTTATTTAAAGTTGAATAATATGATGCAAGTAAAATGGAAAAAAACTAAAATATTAAAAATTTCTTGAATTATATATATATATATATATATATATATATATATATATATATATATATATATATTTCTAAAATATTATACTTAAATATTTTTTTTGTTTTCAATTTTTTAATTAAAATTGAGTAAGTATAAGATAATATATGTTCAAAAATAACTCTCAATAATTTAACATTAAACGTTCATACCTTTAACATTCATGGTGTTTAAACCCATGACCTAAAAAGACAACATTAATTCTTTTACCACATACGTCAATTAATTTGCATTTTTGTTTTCAATTTATATCTGAATAAATTCTATTTTTTAATAATAATAATAAAAAAACTGCGTCAAGAAGTGTAGAAGTGGCAAGGACTTATTTATTTATTTATATATTTTTATTTTATTTTACTTATATATTCCAAAAGTAGTTTTTGTTGGAGATCCTTTACTTATAAGATAAAAAAAATTAGTTGACCCTATTCCCATATGTAATGGGTAAGAGGGAGGTAGGGTAGTGGGGGCACCAGGTTGAAAGCAGCTTCCGTGGAAGACATCTGTTATGAATTTCCTTCAGTAGGACTCGATCTCACGATCACAAGGTTAAGAGCCTTGCGCTTTACTTATAAGATGTTTTGCTTAAAATGTTGAAATAAAAATATATGTAATCGAAATAATTCATTACGAAGTTTTTTTAAATTAATTTTCCCTTTAATTTACCTTTAGAAATTCATTTTCTGACAATGGTTAATTGAATTTTTAAAATCATATATTTTTCTTTAATTATGTTTTATTAAAAGATTGATTTCATCAAATAATTGAAGAAGTTAGTGTACCTTAAATTAAATGAAATTTATTATTTAATAAGAAATCTCGAGTTAATTAGATAGGGTAAAGAGTAACACCTCATGATTATTCAACTTATTAATTAAAAATCAAACTATTATTTTTAAGAATATATTCACTTTAAATTACGTAATTTTTTTTTATAAATTTGAGATGAATACAAGATAATATATATTCAAAGACTTTCAACTATTTGAAAATAAATACTTATACTTTTATATACGTAGTGTTTAAACTTGATATCTTAAAGAATAACAATAAACTTTTTAATTATTGGAGTCATTTTGTTAGTGCTTAAGTTACAAGATTTTTGAAATGTTGAAAGGGGACACTTTTCTAATAGCTAAAGCAAAACCCTAACTTATAGATGATCAATTGAACATTGATGAACTTACGACCTTGCATCGAATTCAAGAAAAGGCAAACATTTTATATGCTTAATTTGAAAGATAATACTTATTTTACAGCTATTCGGTCAAAATAAATAAAGGTATAATTTCCCTTTTAGTCCCTATGCTATACTGAATATCTTAATTAGATCTCTTTAATTTAATTTAGCATAATTTGATCCTATATTTAATAATATTATAAATAGATCTAAATTAACAACTTTATCAATGAAGGGGCTAAAAGAAGAAATTAGAAGAAGAAGAAACCCTGAAACCAAAGGCTATATTTACTAATTTATTCCTCTCAAAATCTTGTCCTTTTGCAAACTGTCTTAAGAATAAATTAAGGAATCTTAAAAAAAATAAAAATCAAGTCCAAGCTCCAAGGCTTTATTCACACTGAGAAATCCTTTATAAATAGGCTCATTATCTGCAATATGTTTCATCATCTCTTCTCCATTGATCAACTCGATCACTTAAAAATACAGCAGAAGGAGAAAGAAGCATTCAAGCAGTGTGTCAAATCCTTTATACTATGAAGCCACGTAGTATATTGGCGATTCTCGTTATTATGTTGCTGTGCACTGAAGCCGTCATTGTGCATGGTGATAATAAGGGTGGCAACGGAAACGGAAATGGAAATGGCAACGGCAACGGAAATGGAAATGGCAACGGGAACGGAAATGGAAATGGAAACGGAAACGGCAACGGCAATGGTAATGGCAACGGGAACGGGAACGGAAATGGAAATGGAAACGGAAACGGAAATGGCAATGGTAATGGAAACGGCAACGGTAATGGAAACGGCAACGGTAATGGAAATGGAAACGGAAATGGCAACGGTAATGGAAATGGCAATGGTAATGGAAATGGAAACGGCAATGGCAACGGAAATGGAAATGGCAACGGCAACGGTAATGGCAATGGCAACGGCAACGGTAATGGAAATGGCAATGGCAATGGTAATGGAAATGGCAATGGAAACGGCAACGGTAATGGCAACGACAAGGGCAATGGTGATAAGAATAAGAAGAAATATGATGATGAAGTGGATTATGACCACTTGTCACCATCGAAGAGTGGACAAGAACGTGCCTACTGCAAAGCCAAAGGTGCTTGTTACCACCAGACTCTTATTTGCCCCTCTGAATGCCCTCGAAGGAAGCCTAAGCATAATAAGAAGCAGAAGGGTTGCCATATCAACTGTGCCAGCAAGTGTGAAGCCACTTGCAAGTGTAAGCATAATTAATACCTTTAATTCTCACCTTTATTAACCCTAATTCCAAGTTTATGGGCTGATTCTAAAACTCACATTCTTTTTATTTGTTTCCAGGGAGGAAACCAGAATGTGATGGCTATGGTTCTATTTGCTATGACCCTCGTTTTATTGGCGGTGATGGAGTTATGTTCTACTTCCATGGAGCTAAAGATGGAAACTTTGCCATCGTCTCCGATGATAAGCTTCAAATCAATGCTCATTTCATCGGCACTAGACCACAAGGAAGGACTCGCGATTTCACATGGGTGCAAGCCTTGGCCGTCATGTTCGATACCCACACTCTTGTCATCGGAGCAAATAGAGTTTCTCATTGGGACGACAACATCGATGCTCTAAGTGTTCGATGGGATGGCGACACTGTTAACATCCCTTACGACGGAGAAGCCGAATGGAGGAATGGACGAGTGTTGATCGAAAGAACCGATGACAGAAACAACATTCTTGTCAAAGTATCGGGATTGGTGGAGATTTACATAAGGGTGAGACCGATTGGAAAAAAGGAAAATAGGGTTCATAAGTATCAGTTACCAGATGATAATGCCTTTGCTCACTTGGAAACACAGTTCAAATTCAGCAACTTAAGTGATGAAGTTGAAGGAGTGTTGGGAAAAACGTACCAGCCTGGTTATATGAGTCCAGTGAAGAGAGGGGTGCCAATGCCCATAATGGGTGGGGAAGATAGGTATCAAACCCCATCACTGTTTTCAACTTTCTGCAAGGCTTGCAGGTTTCAGAGATCTTCTGTATCAGTTGCCAGCATCTGAACTGAGTTTCATATTCTGCATTTCCATATTAATAACAATTAACTCACAGAATAAATTTGTAAGAGAATAAGGGCCATAAGAATATTGCCCATTACACTTTCATGTACTAAAATATTTATTAATATGATAAACTACTTATTTAGTCACTCAACTTTTCGTGCGGCTCTATTTTTGTCACATAAATATTTTTATTTAAAATCATATCTAATGTTACATTTTGATTTCCTTTTGTTCATCCGTCATTAAAATATTAATAGTGATGATGATGTGTCATCATAAGATAATGCCACATCTTCATTGAAAAAAATAAAAAAATGACACGTCGACATTTCTATTAATGTTTTAACGACGAGTGACTAAAATAAATTCAGAATGTAACGTTAGGTATAATTTTAAAAAAAATAGTTTGGTTACCAAAATATAACCAAACGACTAGTTGTGTGACTAAATACATAGTTTATCCAATTTTAATCCTTCTTTCTTTTGCTGGAATTTCAATGATTTGTTTTGCTATTCTCATTCTAATTTTCTGAATTTAAGTTTTTGTTTAATAACGGTTAATTTTTAAGGTACAGATTTACCCAAGTATTTTGAATTCAATTTTTTGGACACCAGTTCAATTATATACTAATCCTGAATCTTATTTATTGTAATTCATTTAATTAGACAAATAATATAAAGAAATTATTAATAAAATAGATTATTAATAAAAATATCAAATTTTAAGATAAATATATACTCATTCTAGAACACACTTACATCCATTACTGAACAACACCCTTCTAACAATAAAACTAGTTGTTTGATGCAAGTTAGAATTGCAGACATGGAATGCTCGAATACGTTTATCACACTTTTATCCTTCCCCCTGACACGCATGACAAATCAAAGAGGATTGATCCTCGACAAAGCACACTGAACCAAATCAGGAGCAACATGATTAGTCTCATGATTGACATAATGCATCTCAAATGCATCTCAAGTTGTGAGTTGTCTTACATGATCATGCACACTTCGTTGAGTATCAATCTGAAGGGGAATTGTTATTATTATATATTTATATTTATTAATATTAAAATGCAATATTATCTCATTTATCCATTAAAACGATCTTTTATTTTATTAAATAATTCTACATTTATAATACATTGATAGAGCATAAAAAATATCTTATATAGGAAAAGTTGATAAACTTGGGAAACTAGTTGGGAGTGAAAAATAATATTTTAAAAATAATGAAAGGAGAAGTAAAGTGATAATGAAATATTAATTAATTAGATAAAATAATAAAAAAATAAAAAACAAATTGGTGTGATAAATATCTGCAATAAAATAAATCAATAGTTGTACAAAATTAAATTTGACTAATTTAATTCAAATCCAATTATTTAAATTAATTTATACTAGTCGAATATTAATATAGACCGGATATGATGACTTAAACTTGATTTGAAATCTAAAACAAATCAAATTTTATTAAAATTGGCTCAAATTTTAGTTGGACAGATATAGACTTTTATAAATGTTAATTAGAATTGAAAACAACTCAAATTGAAGCAATCAGAACAAAAAATAATCTAAATTTAATCTACTTAAATTTGACTCAAATAAAAAATTAATAAATTTTTAATTAAATAGTTGAATCAAAGTAAATGAATCATCAATTTATTATTATCTATTTTTAAGCAACAAGATAAATAATAAAATTATGTATATTTTATCATCCTTTTATATTATATTATCAATTACCTTTGATAATATTTTAATAATGGGTACATAAATGGTCTCCCGACTATATGATACTACTTTATTGAATCCTCCGATTATTATAAGTTATAAAATGGTCCCTTGACTATAGGGTGTTGCTTTGATGAGTCCCTCGACTATTAGAAGTTACAAAAATTTCATCAGACTATTTATATGTTCCAAACTCATCATTTTTATTAAAAAAAACTAATGGTAGTCTGAGTTTGACGTTAACTCGTTGACTATATCAAAATCTCAAATGATTATCATATCTCAGTCAACAAATTAACATCTAATTCAGGCTGTCATAATTTTTTTATAAAAAAAGAACGAATTCGAAACACATGAATAGTCAAGTGATAATTTTACATTTCTTAATAGTTGAGAGAATTAATAAAATAATATTCTATAATCAGATACTATATGTGTGATTTACCCTTTAATAATTCAATATTACCTATCATGAACTTTAAGTCAATGATGCATAGTAGGTAAGCTGGCGAGTTTTTGATGGATCATGGATTGGTAAGAGGCTTATAATTGGGGTCTGGGATAGGGGGTTTTGTAATTGGGTCATGGTGGATTATCGTACATGTAGAATAGTAAGCTAATTTATAAAATAATATTTTTTTAATATTTTAATTAATATTATATTTTTATTTTACGGACGCATTTATTAGAAAATCAAATCTTCTTTAAAATTAATATTTTTATTAGTACTGAGATTACTCAATAAATTTTTAAAACAATTCTTTAAATTTCAAAGGCTTAAAATATCATTAGAGCTAATTAAAAAAAATAATGCTAGTACTAGTTGAGCCAAAATGACATTTTTCGAATAATTATAAAGCTATTTCAACTTGAGCAGCCTTTAAGCCGGTGAAGCCGCCACGGGTGGAGTGGGATTTGTATGTATTATTCATCCACTACAATTTATTGATAAACCGAATATTTTTTTAATGTTTTAAACTATAATTAGTTAATTGGAAAGCAATTAACAAGTGGTAATAACTTATTAATAAAAAGGATGAATGAGTACAAAAAGAGGAAACAAAAATACTTGTATAAATCCTTGGACTTGATCCCAATTAAGATTTAAATGAAGGGTATCATAATTAATTAATTATATATGAAAAGCTTATTACAATATTTTTTACATTTTAAATGAAAATATATGTGGGAAAATTATGATACAAATAGTTTATATATTATTTTTTATTTAAAGTTGAATAATATGATGCAAGTAAAATGAAAAAAAATATTAAAAATTTCTTGAATTGCATATATATATATATATATATATATATATTTAAAATATTATACTTAAATACTTTTTTGTTTTCAATTTTTTAATTAAAATTGAGTAAATATAAGATAATATATGTTCAAAAATAACTCTCAATCATTTAACATTAAACGTTTACACCCTTAACATTATGGTGTTTAAACCCATGACCTAAAAGGACAATATTAATTCTTTTACCACCGACGTCAATTGATTTGCATTTTTGTTTTCATTTTATATATGAATAAATTCTATTTTTAATAATAAAAAAAGTTGCATCAAAAAGTGTAGAAGTGGCAAGGACTTATTTATTTATTTATATTTTATTTTGCTTATATATTCCAAAAGTAGTTTTTGTTGGAGATCCTTTACTTATAAGATAAAAAAAAATTAGTTGACATTATTCTCATATGTAATGGGGTAAAGGGGAGGTAGGGTAGTAGGCTGCCCCTAACGCCAGGTTGAGAGCAGCTTCCGTGGAAGACCTTCGTTATGAATTGCCCTCAGTGGGACTCGATCCCACGACCACAAGGTTAAGAGCCTTGCGCTTTACTTATAAGATGTTGTTGAGTTAATCGATTGACGAATATGGCCAAGAGGGGGTGAATTGGGGATTAAAATTTTGGTGGAAGCTTTTGCAGAAAATTGAAAGAGATTTGCACAGCTATTTAGAGTGGTTCGACTTTCTCAACTGAAGTCTACGTCCACTACCTTAGATATCCACACTAAGGATTTTCCACAAATTCACTAATTTGTCTTTCTTTTGAGGACAAAGAGTAACCTTACAAACCCTTAAGAATTATACCCCAAATTCTTGAAAACATTCTCTCCCAAAGAGAACAATACAAATTTGCAAACTTACAAGGAAATCCTCACAAGGTAGATTGTTTGCACAATTCTAGAACAAAGAAAAGAACACTCAAGAATGAATACAATTGAGCACAATAAGTGTTCTTGAAAGCAAAATGAATATTGAATGAAAGATAGGCTTGAAATGCTCAAACTTGAGGTTTGATGCTTTCTCTTTGATTCTCTCTTGATTCTAGTTGCTTGATGTTTCTTGTTGTTGATCATTGGCTTCTAAGCTTGCTTAAATACACCTTGAATTACTTCTGAACGTTGGGGATCATTAATGAAATTATTGTAGCCGTTTAAGTGTGAAAACAATAAATATTTCTGATTGGAGCGTGGGGTGAATCGGTACCCCTCATGGGGAATCGGTTCCCTAAGTGTAAAATTCAAATATTTCGACCGTTGAACAATGGGGGAAATTGGTACCCCCTGGGAGAATCGGTTCCCTCCGAGCATACTGGAATTCTCGGAGCCAAACCATTCAGGGGGGAATCGGTACCCCCTTGGGGGGGAATCAGTTCCCTCTGAGCAATCTGAAATTTTTGGCTTTAAAATGGTTCGAAATATTTTGTAAAATCATTTTGAAATTATTTTAAGATTAAAACTTAATTTTACACTTGAGTAAGGATTTAAAATGAACTTTGAAATACTTTGAGTAATATTTTGATATTCGATTTAATATATCGAATATGCTTTAGAAAAATCATTTTCAAAATTAAAATTCTTTTAATTTAATTTGTTATATCGAAACATCAAAATGTTTTCAACAATCTCCCCATTTTTTATATAACAAAACATTTTAAGATTTTCTAATTTCAAAATGAATTTTGATTTTGAAAAATACTACTCCCTCTTACTTTAACACTACTCCTAAAAAACGCTTTTATCTCCTCCTTTTTGTTAAATCAAAAAGACTCGTAAAAGATTTTAAACAAGGTTTTGAAATCATTTAGCCAATTGATTATAAATATATATAGCTTAAACTGCTAAGAACACAATCAAAAGAGAGGTTAGCCATTAGTTTCATAAATAATATTCATAAACATGTAATGGATAATTGGTCATATATGTCTAAAGATGCAAAATAAACACGAAATCCAAATCAAATGTATTAAACATAAGTTTGAACAACCAAAAA